TTTTTTTTTTTTCTTTTTTTTTTTGGAGGGGGGGGCTGCTTTTTTGCTTTAATTTTCTTTCCTACGCGCCTCTTTTTTTATTATAAATAATTTTTTTGCCACATCAGCTTTTGGGGTAGTATTAATTACACTCCAACTAAGAACAAGGGGGTACTTGAAAGCCCGTAAAGTTTCACCGTGCAACCAATTTTTCCGGACAAGTTCAGAGTGCAACTAATGTATTTTATCTTTTATTTTTCATTGTACTCTTTAGATTTTGCTTAGAACAGACCTGTTTGAGCGATGATTATATATTCACTGTACCTAAACAAGAATACCAAACCAGAGGTCTGACCTTTTTGTCAAGGAACAAAGCCAAGATGATAGATAACATGAGAAGGAAAGGAAAAGACAAGACATGGCGAACAGTAGGGAAGGGGAGAAAAAGTCTCATCAACAAGCAACCTCCCCTCCCTCTCTTTTTCGCCTAGAAGGATGAACAGTTCCACAATCTAAGTTACCCGATCTGCACGGTGGGAGCTAAAAGCTCGAGAGAGGCAATTTCAGCGTAACTAGAGTATCCTAAAGAACTACTATTTTTTACAAGTAATATTTTCTTTTTTAAAAGTTACACATTTATAATAGATAATAACTTAGACATTAATAGATCCTTAAGAGTGACAGCTCCTATGTAAGAGAACAAAAAATAAACTGACACTTCGGTAAAAAACTTTTGGAAAAGCTGCGCCTTTTTGTTGCCTTTACCGTAGGAGACCAACTCTGACTATCTTGGCTTTTCACTGAAACTGAAGTCTTTGTCACACCAAAAGTTAGAGAATGTGAATGGGTTAACCAGGATTGACACTCTTGTACCATTGAGTTCACAAACTATATGTGTATTCAGCTTGAATTCTACCTATTTTCTAATTGTTCGAAGATCCAATACCTAAGTAGACGTATTAGGCATCCTATGGAAGGAGCAAAAAAGGGGAACACTGATTAAGAATGTTTCACCATGAACCTGTCAAGTCTACTTAATTTGACTTTCTTGCTAGACCCTTTTTGCCCATTTAAAAGAAAAATTACAGAGCATTTCCAATATCCAAGTAAACTCAGCCTCAAGTACAGACTTATCTTAGCCAACATGAGATTTTCCATGGAAGAAGATTCCAGGTAAGAGAATATTGGATTACAGCCACGGGATGAAATCCTAGCACTATCAGTTTCTAATGATACCAAATTTTGTGATTTCTACTATTTTCTTGCAAATCATAATCCGAATGATCTAGAACCAAACCTTGCTTTCTATATAAATCTTAATTACATGTACAATAATCTACGGAACTAGATATAGTCATATACACTTCTCAGAGGCTTGTAAAAACATTTTTCATACCTGGCCGATAAGACTATGGATATAAAAAAAGGCTTAAGAGTTGAGATAGATACCCAATTTTTGTCACTGCAGTTCTGGTATTAGAATGAAGATAAAATAAAGGTACTTCCCAAGGCAGGATTATCCATAGTTTGACCAATCAATCAGAGAACCCTGTTAATTGAACATCAAGTCTCTGAGATTGAGCATTCAACCTTTGATCGGGTTCTGACCGTGCATTTCTAATTCCTGCCAGCACCAGCCAATATTGTACCACATTTCCACATAACTAAATCATCTTCCCCGTTGTGCCAAAGCACAAAATATAATACTTGCCTTCTGCCCTAAAAAGACTAAAGGTAAAACTCAAGATGAGATGCTTTACTGTCCCGAGACCATCGAGAAATAAGAGAGTCAGTTGCATCTAATCAAATTAATGAAAAGTAACACAAATCAATCTTCGTGGCAAATCTAAACCCTTAGCCTACTCTCAACAAGATCACAATGTTTACCAAAAGTACAACAAGCTACACAATTTCCAAAACACCTATCAATACATTTAATTTTTTTTTTTTTTTTAATTTTTTTTTTTTTTTTGGGGGGGGGGTTGTAGAGTTGGCTAAACTGACCTCAAGCTCGGCGGATTTCAAAGCCACTGGAATGCAGATGAGTACGATTCCGGCAAGGGCAATAGCGGTATTGCGCTGCCAATGCTTGGGCCTACAGTAGGGCCCACCACTCATACTCCAGACCTTAGCCCTGAAATCTCCACCATGAGAATGGTCTCCTCCGCCGGCCATTTTCCGTATACAGCTGATGAGAAGCTTTGGAGAGTGGTTGGAAGCACAGAACAAAAGATCAAGATCAATTGGGCGTTGCAGGACTCGTTTCGAATAATTTGTATTATGATATAAGCCCTAAGGTCCGTGCTATTTGGGCGCTCCGAATAAGTTGTCACTGCTCGCTGTTTTACGGACCCGACTGAATAGAAAGTAATGTCAACGTTATCTGTAATAGTCTCGTTTGTTCCGATATTTTTAGAAGAAATTCAAAAATAGCCAGATTTATAAATGATAATTAAAAAATAGCCACAAATTAAATTTAACCACTTTTCATATAAAGAAAAATCTGAACAAAAACACTGTTCAAAATCCGAAAAATATTCCAGCATATAATACTGGAGTTCCAGTATAATATATCGGTCCAGCATAATATACTGGAAGTTCATACACAGGTGCTCAAATTTCCAGTATATTATGCTGGAACTTTCCGCGTGTTGGAGTTTCAGCATAATATGCTGGAAGTTCATACACAGGTGCTCAAATTTCCAGTATATTATGCTGGAACTTTCCGCGTGTTGGAGTTTCAGCATAATATGCTGGAAGTTCATACACATGTGTACCAATCTCCAGTATATTATGCTAGACCGGTCCGTGTTGTAGCAAAATAGTGGTTATTTTTTAATGACTTTGCAAACGGTGGCTATTTTTGAATTACCAGTCCGAAAACTAACTAGCCCGTACTATTTTAAAGATATTTTTTGGCTTTTATAATGAATGGTTGTTATACACCTAGAACAACATTTGACGTTTAAATATTTTTTGGTTGTTATAGATAAAAATTATCCAAAAATCAATTATTTTTCCTTTTTTAATATTACATATAAAAGACAAAAAAAATTATTAAATTTAAAATCTTAAAAGATATGCATATTGAAAAAAGTTAATACATTATTAATAAATTCATAACTAAACGTATAAAGATTTCAACTCCAACGCAAACATTTTAAAGCTACCTAGAAAAATAAATTCTTTCGAGATTGATGGAAGAACTTTGTAATTGTAGCTTATTTTTCGTAGATTTCATTCTCGTAATAGCGATATAATGCTTGAATTGGCGAAAATTCTTGCCCAAAATTTTAACAAAAAGGTATCCAATAGCTTTCCCTTAAAGACAATCTAAGAGCTTAATAGTTAAATTTTCTATCTAAATATTCTTTGAAATTTGTCTAATGGAAAAAATATCATGTGCAAATCTTCAAATTTTATATCTTATGCAAGATAGAAACTTTGTTTAATGAAAAAGATTGTGTACATATTTTTAAAATTATTATTAGTAATCTTAAATATTCTATATGACTGTTATAGAGGGGTAATTTTAGAAAGAGTGTTCTGCTATAAATATAGTTGTTGCTATTATAGGTAAAAAGCTCTTATAGAGAGGTAAAATATAACTTAAAAATTCGGTTCTGAGAAAAACTTGACTTTTATAGTGAATGACTGTTATATATGGATGTTGTTATTGAGAGGTATGATTGTATCTTTTTAGATCTCTTATGTACAAAAGATAGAGTGAAAATGGCGTGGGGTGGCCACTTTTTAAGGTGGTATTTAGTATTTAGCCAGCAATTTTAATGCTAAGCAAAAAGAGACAATATTCTGTTAAAATTAATGTGAAAAGATATTTTTACCCTTCTTCTATCTCTTTTCTTTCCCAAACCCTTTTTCATTATCAAAAGTTCAAAACCCTCGCTTCACATACACAGTAGAGATTCATTACGACATCAACCTCTCGTTACTGAAGGTAGGGAATTTCTCCATTTTCTAGATACTTTTTCATATCAAAAACCATAAATTGTTGTGTTTTTACCATTACAGTAATTCGTGGTGAAGTATTATTCAGAAACCAACAAGAGAGTATATTGAGGTCAATTACAAACAGCTTTGATTACATTAATAAGGTCGGTTTGAAGCTTGAAATTTTTAATTGAGCATTGTAGATGCAAGAGTGTTATATTTTGGCACAAGTTTGGGAACGATTGGAACTTCTTCTTTTTTCTTTTTTTTTTTTCGTGGTTAAGTTAATAATTTATTGATCATCCGCACAAAGAATGTGCTGGCTTCAATTCAATGCATCTAGACTCTGCAAATTATCTATAATTTTATTTATGTTTGCTTCATTTTCACTTAGACTGATGATTATGCTTTTTATATTAGCGAAAATTTGAAGAACTAGAAGAACACTTGTTTCAAGTTTGAAGAACTTCTCGGACTCATTCTAACTGATTCGGGTAGATGAGAAATCATCGCAACGAATCAGGTTTGATTCTTTGAGTATTAAGCTGAACTTCTGCTTGATCTTCTGATAGTTGACTTGAACTAGTGAATTCGATCGACTTCCTTATTACTTTGTGATTGAGTTTGAATTCATGAATCAACTCGAGGTTCTTATTGGTTTGAATTGTTCTGAGAAATCCTTATTGAAGAATTGACTGGGAGTTAGCTGTTGTATATTGTGATGAGGTCCTGAATGTTAGTTTTTTACTTTAAATATTCAGGACATTTCAGAAAAATGGTTCTGAAGTTTACATGTTATTTCCTTCTTTGTAGATTGTTGGATATATTAAATATATTCTTTATTGGTGAACTGAATTTGTTATAAATACAGGCTCTGAGTATTTTGCTAATGGAAGGAGATCGGTATTTCGAGTTTGATGATTGACGTAATTTGATGAGTTATTGGAAAGAAGATTTTCAATATAAGGAAACAATAACAAGTTTCTTGTCAAAAGCGCAATGGAAGAAATTGAGAGATGGTGTTTTTGGAAAAAAAAACTCGGCTAGAAGGTGTTAAATTCTGTGGTAAATTAATTCATTGTGTGTTGCTTTCTGAAATTGTAAGCAATGATAAGAATTCAATGATATTTAAGGTTTTTGATCATGGAGTGAAGTTTACAAATGAAGCCTTCCACATAATTACTGGGTTGAAATGTTCTTCTTCAGGGGACTTTAACTTTTTGAATGAAATAGAGAATAAGCTTTCTAAACTTCACTGGTAAGGAAAGAATTAAATTAGGGAATTTGTGGCATTTTATTACTAGTCGCCCATCTGGTACAACTGCGTCATTTGTAGGTAGCAACGGCGATGCAGTAAAGTTGGCAACAATTTATTTTGTTGAGCATGTGTTGATGGGTAAGCGTAAGAATAGAAATGTGTCTGAGCGGGTTATGAAAATTATTGATGATGATCAACTCTGCTCTTCTGTCTATCGGGGCTCTTTTTGTTATCAAAAGTTGTCAACTCATTGAAAAGTTGCTTGAAGCCCAAACAAAAACTTCAGACAATGAGAATGAGAATGAGAAAGAGCAAAAGAAAGAGAAGGTCATTTATACTATATTTGGATTCCCCTTTGCCCTCTATGTTTGGATTATGGAAGTACTCCCAATTTTTCAGGAAAAAAAACTTTGTCAAATTCAAAGAATGCGGGTTCCCTAGGATGTTATGTTATTCAGATATGAAATCTTCGCATTATGAGAGCCTCTGTAAAAACTACTTCCATAACAAAAAAGTAAGATAATAGTATTAATGGATATTTTTTTGTTTGTGTGTTTTGGTTCTAAATATATACTTTATTTTCTTATAAAATAGGTATCTGAGATACTCGTGATGGTACCACTTGTTTATTCTGAAGAAGTAGTAGAGCCCACTAGTGTGCATGCATAATTATCTCGAGATGAAAGTTCAATGCCTTCAACACAATTTGATGAAGGCTTGCTTAATAAAGTTGTTGATGTAAGTATTCTGTAACGATCCGACCTGTCGTTTTACTATACAGATCCCCGTTCCTCTAAATAAGACTCCCCGTATGTGCTTTTACTGTTTTATGTCTTGAGGGGATGGTTAGGACATGTTTGGAAGGGTTCGGGTTGAGATTAGAACATTCAATTCCTTAAGATTGGCTTTAAATGGCTAAGTTTGACTTGGATCAACATTTCTAGTAAATGACCTCGGAATCGGGATTTAACGGTCCCAATAGGTTCGTATAATGATTTGAGACTCGGGCGTACGTATGGATCGGGTTTTGGATGACCCAGGAGCGTTTCAGCACCTAGAGTTGAAAGTTAGTTTATTGAAGGTTTTAATGTTCTTTAAATTTGGTTTGGAGTAGGTTTTGGTGTTATCGAGGTCCGTTTGGGATTCTGAGCCTTTGAATAGCTCCGTAAGGTAATTTAAGACTTGCACACAAATTTTGGTATCATTCCGAGTAGTTTAGATATGATTCGGCGCGTTCGGGGTAAATTGGAAGAACTTGAAGTTCATAGTTGATTCAATTTGGTTTGGGGTGCGACTCTTAGTTTTAGTGTTGTTTTTCTTGTTTCGTGAGGTCGAGCAGGTCCGTTTTATGATTTTGAACTTGTTGGTATGTTTGGGCGGAGCCACGGGGGCCCCGAATGCCATTCGAACGAGGCACGGAATTCACTTGGACTTGGAAAGAATAGATGAAGCATCAGAGTTCTGGTGCAATCATACATGTGGAGGGCCAGCCGCAGGTGCGAGCTCGAAGAAGTGAGCCAACAGCCGCAAAAGAGGCCTAGCGCGGGCTGCCCAGAGATCGCAGATGCGGAGCATGGTGCGTACCAGCGAAAGTGCAGGTGCGATGGCAGCAACCGCATAAGCGACCAAAGCCGCAGGTGCGACACGTGCATCGCAGAAGCGATCCCGCTGAAGCGGGCCAGTGTCCGTAGATGTGGAAGTAGGCCAATTAGGGAGGAGCCTCATCTGCGATGATATTTCCGCAGATGCGGAGCTGCAAAAACGGCCATAGAGCCGCAGAAGCAGAAGTGCTGGAGGCAGTAAGGTCCATTTAATACGGGACTTAGGCCATTTTGGGTTCATTTATTGTATTTCTTGGGCGATTTTGGAGCTCTTGGAGAGAGGGTTTTCACCTAGCTATTGGAGATAAGTAATTTCTATCCAATGTAAGTTAAATATATAGATTATGGGTAGATTCTAACATGTAAAATATTAAAAATTTTGGGTTTAGATGAAAAACCTAGGTTTTGATAAAATGGGATTTAACCACGATAATAGTTATGGAATTGGGTGAAAATTATATATTTGAGTTTGTGAGGTTATGAGTAACAATTATCTTCAAAAAATTTTAGAATCCGGGCACGTGGGCCCGAGGATAAATTTTAGGAATATTCCAATTTGGGTTGGGTAATTACTCTAATAGTTAAATTGTGAACTTTTGAACATGTATTGATTAATTTATATAACATTTGACTATTTTCAGGTCGTTTGACACCAAGTTGAGGATTTAAGGCATATTTGTGGATCGGAAATGAGCTTGAGAACGAGGTAAGTCTCTTGCCTAACCTTGTAAGAGGGAACTCATCCCCTTAGGTGTATTTGTTGTGAATTACTTGTGTGGGGAGCTACGTACACACTAGGTGACGAGAGTCCGTGCTTAGCTAAATTACATGTGATGTTCGGGTAGTCTTAGATTTACATCATGCTTTGTTTGCAATGTTATGTTGGTTTTGCATATTAATTGTCTTAAATAGAGCTAAGATTAAGGATTTTAAGATTTAAAGTCTCCAGTTTGGATTTCTTATGATTGGGAAGAATGGAAGAATTTTATATTAACTCTAATAAATCCATGTTCACTCGCGTCGCAAGTATTTCCGCGAGTGGTGTAAATTTCTCTACTCTCATGGGAGCGGGCCATTCGCCTCGGCAGGTTATTAGATCCATCTATGATTCGTGCCGTTTGGCCCTCGGCAGTGCACACAATATATTTTTGGATCGGGCCGTACGACCTCGGCATAAATCATGCGTGATAATACTCGGAACCTAATTATACTTGATATTATTTTATGGCTTAAGCGGTTATAATTATTTAATGATAGAAATTAACTTTGGAATTTATTATTAGTGAAAGAATTATTATTCACTGCTTGTTACTGAGTTGTATTTATTATTTATATAATCCATGCTTATTTAGAATTCCTGCATTTTATTGTTAACCCATAGTAAGTGTCGATGTTGACCCCTCATCACTACTTCTTCGAGGTTAGACTAAATACTTACTGGGTATATATTATTTATGTACTCACACTACACTTCTACACTAATCGTGCAGGTTCTGAGGCAGGTGCATCTGGTAGTTATCCCGGCGCACACCCCTAATACTTCGAGACTTAGTGGCGAGCTGCTTTCCGAGTCCATCCTGCAGCACCTGGAGTCTCTTTTGCTTTTATTTTCTGTCTACTCCATTCAGAAAATAGTTTAGTATTTTGTATATTCTATTAGTAGCTCATACACTTGTGACACTAGGTCTTGAAATTTTACTAGTAGACACTTGATGATTTTGAGTATTTTTATCTCACCATACATGTTCGTAAACTTGTTCACACTTTATTTTATTAAATTTCTCACCTCTTACTTATTTAATAATTTAAAAATCAACTATTTCTAAAAATGTTAAAAGAATAGATCCATGGCTAGTTCACCGTTGGCTTGCCTAGCGGCGACGTTGGGCGCCATCACGGTCTATAGGGAAATTGGATCGTGATAACATGGTATCAGAGCACTAGGTTCACGTAGGTCTCATAAGTTATGATCAGGCCTAATAGAGTCTTGCGGATCGGTGCGGAGACGTCCGTCCTTATCTTCGAGAGGCTATAAGGTGTTAGGAAACTATTCTTTCTTGATCTCCTATCGTGCAGTTGATGTTGTGCTAAGTATCTTTCTCTTATTCTCTCACAGATAGTGAGAACGTGCGCGATAGATGTACCCGATCATGGAGGAGCTGCTCCCCCTATTTCTAGAGGCCGAGGGAGGGCTCCAGCTCGTGGTATAGGACGAGGGCATCCTAGAGTTGCCCCAGCTATGCCACCAGTGGATCCAATAGAGGATCCTATTATTGAGGAGCTAGCCCCAGCAGATTTTATGTCCGTGCCAGGATTGCAGGAGGTCATGGACTGTATGCTGCAGTTCATGGATTTAATAACTCAGGCTGGTTTATTTTCAGTGGACCCAGCCACATCTCTGGCGGGAGGGGGAGCAAAGACCCCTACCTCTCAGGCTCCAGGGCATGCAACTGCAGTGTATCAGACTCTGAGCGCACTACCCGTGGGTGGAGCTCAGTCAGTTGTAGCAGCTATACCTGAGCCCAGACCAGCTGCGACCACCGATCCACAGAAGCTATTGGACAAATAGACCAGGCTACATCCTCCTATCTTTGGAGGTGAGCGACATAAGGACCCCCAGGACTTTATTGATCGGTGCAGGGACATAATGCACAGCATGAGGATATTAGAGTCCCACGGGGTGGACTTTATCACATTTCAGCTGGAGGGCAGGGCCCGTAGATGGTGGCAGTCCTATCTTCTCGGCAGACCAGTAGGTTGTCCTCCCATGACTTGGGACCGGTTCACATGCCTCTTCTTGGCCAAATACATTCCACCCTCTCAGAGGGAAGAGTTACAGTTTCAGTTCGAGCTGCTCCAGCAGGGCCATATGTCGGTGATCGACTATGAGGTGAGACTCTTTGAGTTGTCTCGCGATGCACTTATGATATTTTCGACCGATGCAAAGAGAGTGTGGAGGTTTGTTGCCGGTTTGTACTCTGGTATCCTGGCCACTATGGCCCGAGAGGTTGAGATGAGAACTTCTTACGAGCTAGTTGTAGAGATATCTTGGAGGATCGAGGGTGTCCGTCAACAGAGCCAAGAGCAGGCAATGAGGGATAAATGGTTTCGATATTCTAGAGAGATCAGTGGTACCCCGACTGGGGGTAGGATTCAGTTCGTGAGGGGTCAGTCTAGCAGGCCCACATATCCATCACCGCCTCCTCCTCGAGGTGCTCCAGTGCGACCCTATTTCAATGCCATACCAGAGAGTTCCTACTAGCCGCCAGCTATTCTGGGTTCCTCCAGTGGGTATTCAAGCCATCAAGGCCAGACTTCAGGTTAGCAGTCCTCTGTTCTGAGGGGTTGTTACGTGCGGGGATCCTGGCCACATGAAGAGGTTTTGTCCCAGACTTCGGGGCAAGGCAGTACAACAGGGTCATCAGCTGATGATTACAGCACCAGCTGCCCCACCAGTTGTCCGGCCGCCCAGAGGCCAGCCAGGTGGCGCTCCAGCCAGATTCTATGCCTTTCCAGCCAGACCAAATGCAGTAGCCTCAGATGCCGTGATCACAAGTATTATTTATGTCTACGGTAGGGATGCTTCTGTGCTATTTGATCCAGGGTCTACATATTCATATGTTTCATCTTTGTTTGCTCATTTCCTAGGAGTTCCTCATAAATCCTTGGGTACTCCTATTTATGTGTCCTCTCCAGTGGGCAATTCTGCTATTGTGGATCGCGTCTATCGGTCCCGTATTGTGACTTTCTATAGTTATGAGACTAGAATGGATATCCTGTTGCTTAATATGACCGACTTTGAGGTCATCCTGGGCATGGATTGGTTTTCACCATATCACGCCATCCTCGATTGCCATGCCAAGACTGTTACCTTGGCGATGCCAGAGCTTCCTAGATTGGAGTGGAAGGGTTCATCTGTTAGTGCATCTAGTCGGGTTATCTCCTTTCTGAAGGCTCGACACATGGTTGAGAAGGGGTGTTTGGATTATCTAGCTTATGTTTAGGATACTACTACAGAGGCTTCGGCGATTGATTCAGTGCCCATGGTCCGGGAGTTCTCCGATGTGTTTCCTTCTGATCTTCCAGGCACACCACCAGATCGTGATATTAATTTATGTATTGATTTGACTCCAAGTACCCAACCTATCTCTATTCCATCGTACCGCATGGCCCCGAAAGAGTTAAAGGAGTTGAAGGAACAACTTGAGGAGTTGCTAGCAAAGGGGTTCGTCAGACCAAGTGTATTGCCTTGGGGTGCATCGGTGTTGTTCGTGAAGAAGAAAGATGGGACCATGCAGATATGCATTGATTAC